TATTCTTATTCCTATTATTCCTATTCCATATTTTATATTCTATTCTGCATTGTATTTTCTATTCTATTCTATTCCTATTCCCATTCCATATTTTCTATTCTATTCTAGTCTGCATTATATTTTCTATTCTATTCTATTCTATTCTATCCTATTCCCATTCCATATTTTATATTCTATTCTAGTCTGCATTATATTTTCTATTCTATTCTATTCCTATTATTCCTATTCCTATTCCCATTCCATATTTTATATTCTATTCTAGTCTGCATTATATTTTCTATTCTATTCTATTCTATCCTATTCTATCCTATTCCTATTATTCCTATTCCCATTCCATATTTTATATTCTATTCTGCATTGTATTTTCTATTCTATCCTATCCTATCCTATCCTATTCTATTCCTATTCTATTCTATTCTATTCGCACTCAGACATATATGCTGCCGCATAGAAGCAGTTTCACAACAGCTGTGACAAGACAGGGGAAAACTCACTTAACAACTGCCTCATTTAGCAACAGGAATATTGGGGCTCAATTGTGGTCATAAGTCGAGGACCACCTATTAGCGGAGTTGGGAGGGACCCTGGAGGTCCGCTAGTCCAACCCTCTGCTCAAGCAGGAGACCCTATCCCATTGTGCATTTAATTTCTTCTTAAAAACCTCCAGTCTTTGCAAAGCCTTGGAGAATGAAGGAAAAAAAGAGGGGGGGAGGAGGGGAGGGGGCTGCAGAAGTGGGGGGGGAAACCCCTTCTCAACCCCGCTGTTTACCCCGACCCATGTCAGGCCCCCTTCCTCCGGTGTCCCACACTCTGCTTTGCACCAAAAATAAAACAGCCCCCTTTCACTCCCAATGATGGGGAGAGCGAGCGAGCGAAAGAGAGCAGCAGATGCCACTCGCGCACCGAGGTTGGCGGGGGTCCCGTTGCCACGGCAACGGAAGGGGGAATGAAGGTTGCCCGCCCTGTGGGGGTACCGCCGGCTTACGGCAGGTGGCTTGCCTTTCTCTGATGGGCTGCCCGGCCCTCTCCCGCAGGGCAGAAAATGGGTCAGGGGGGGGCCCCTCCTCGACTTCCCGTCGCATGATCTGCTGCACCCGTGCTGCATCGGCCTGAGGTCCTCTGCGGTGGCAACCCTACGACATTTGGGGGAGGGAGGGATGGAGGGAGAGGAGAGGTGTGCGCGGGGGGGTAAGCCTGCTTCTGCGGCGGGGCGCGGGGAATCAAAGGGGTGCCAATTGGGGGGGGGGGGCTGCCCCCCTTCAAATGCCCCATTGACTTTGGAGCAGAGGAAGAAAGAACAGGTGGCTGAAAGATTCCTCCTCCCTCTCCACCCCCCCCAGGACAATTTCACTGGATCATAAAAATGGGAATCAAGAAAAAAAAAATTATTATTATAGGCGGTCCTCGGCTTATGGCCACAATCGAGCCCGGAATTTCCCTTGCCAAGCGAGAGGGTTCTTAAGTAAATTATCTTTTCCAAATCCCCAAATCCTTGGCAGAGAAAGCTGCCCAGGGCAACCTTTGCTGATTGTGTTGGTGTGTCTTTGCCTGTGTGTTTGTATCAACAACACACAACATCGAGCCTCCGGTTTTTTTCCCCGATCCTGAAATTCTCAACAATTTGGGAGCTGGAAGGCAGCCAAGCACCAAGGCCGAGCAATCGTCTGGTGAACAAATTATATAGATATATATGTTCTGANTGCTCTATTCTATTCTATTCTATTCAGATTTATTTTATTCTATTCTATTCAGGTTTCTTATTTTATTCTATTCTATTCAGAGTTCTTATTTTATTCTATTTTGTCTGCTCTGCTCTGCTCTATTCTATTCTATTCTATTCTATTCCATTCCATCTCATTCCATCCCATGTTCCTGATTTTGATTCTGATTCTAATTAATTCTAATTCTAATTCCATTCTACTCTATTCCTTCCTCAACGGTTGCTAAACGAGGAGCTCTGGTATTTTCCCACTAGAGTTTGCATCCGATTCTACTATTTTATGTCACTTCTAATAAACGGAGGGCTATTTATAAGTTCCTGGAAAAGAGAGTGAAGCATTTATCGGCTCATTAACATTCCTGCCGTTCTTAAGTGCAGCTCCAAAGCCTTTTTTCCCAGGAAAAACAAAGGAAAACTGGGTTTTTTCAAAAACAGCCGATAAACTTCTCCCACGGCTTCCCCCAAGCCCTCAAAAACAGCAGCTGCACCCGGGCATTGATTCAAGCAGTCCTCAAGTTACGACCCTTAAAATCCGATATTAAACTCAAGGTCACGCGATCCTTTTTTGCGACCTTCTGACAATCGACGACAAGGAGGGAGGGAGCCAGATTCATTTAACAGTTTGTTAAACTGTTTGTTACTAACTTAAGAACTGCTGTGATTCACTTAGCAACTGTGGCAAGAAGGGTGGCAAAATGTGGCAGAACTCAACTTAGCAATCGTATTTAGCAATAGCAGTGTTCCCATTAGAACAATGAATCAGTGGAACAATTATTGCCTCCAGAGGTTGTGAATGCTCCAACACTGGAAGTTTTAAAGAAGAGCTTGGATAACCATTTGTCTGAAGTGGTGTAGGGTTTCCTGTCTAAGCAGGGGGTTGGACTAGAAGACCTCCNGGGGTCATGTCAGTCCAAATTCCAATGCTGTTGGGCATACTAAAAGTGTATATAGATACGGCAGAAAGTGTCTGATGCTGACAATATGAAATAATTATAACAACAATATAAACATGTGGGTGATGATGCCTTAAAATCAACAAAACAACAGCAAAGTCAATGAGATTGTCATTTCCAATATTTATCAATGCAAAAACCACATGCTGAATTTCAACCGTTATTTTCCAAGGAGCCAGTGTAACTTTAAAAAAAAAAACAGAGAACATTGCTTATTTAATGCAGTCAATTCTTATTTAAAAAATAACCACACTATATCACGTGGGCGGGGGGAAAGGTTCTGGATTGTTATGCTTTGTTATGCAAATGAATTAATTTGACAAGGATATTTAAAATTATCTTTCAGAGACCATTATGCCCTCCTAAAAATGGAATTGTTTTTCCCTTCCCAGGATGAAACAATTATTAAATCAAGTTACATTTGTAGTGCAGATACGCCTCGAAGTGCAGATTTACTTCAATCCGTGGCAAACCACTCAGTGAGTCTCATCATCATTGCTTAACTAGGTTAAAACTTTTAAAATCACCAACGTGCAAATTATAGAATCGCAAATGTGATCGTAACCAATACTCTGATTAAAATTGTGATAGCACAGTGATGAATCCTAGTATATTTGCCAAATACCCTGAAGTGGACAACAATGCCTGCGCTCCTCATGACAAACAACAAAACTACCTATTTAAAAAAATAAAACTGTTTTAAAACCATAATCTTGTTCAGTATAATAAGCTTCTAAGTGCCCCAACGTATAGGAATATCTTTATTTGTTGGTGGCTCCGGAATTTTTAACGGGTGATGTTTGAAATGTTCTACAACTACAATTGCTTGATATCTGGACTGAGCTACTGGGATTAAAATGGGAAATGACTAGCTTTGCATTCAGAAAACAAAGGCGTGTGGCACAATGAATCAAAAAAATAAATAAAACAACATTTTAAGGCATAAACTATAAAGATACGAAAGCTTCAGACTCTGCCAATGCAGAGAGAAGGGAACGATATCGCCTTGAACCCTGATCTCAAAGCATTTGATTAAAAGTAACAAATATCCATATTTATCACATTGGCACCAATCAAGAGTAATCCCCCAAATTAAAGGTTGACGTTCGCCTTCTTTGGGGTTCGCAATGTCGGTGAAGTTTTAAAAACACCCTGTAAGTGGGTAGAACACACTTTTTCGCTTTGGAGAAAGAAATTCGGTCATAAATGAGTACCGCGTAGCCCCTTCAAATAGGAAAGAAAATCACTCCGGCGTGTTTCTAAAACTGAAATTCCTTGAGACGTTTTGCAGCCCGTGAGGTTCAGCCTGGAATTTCCCCCAAACGCTTTGGGTGCGAACTACGGTGAAACACTTCGAACGAAAAGCGGGTTATTGTAAGGGAAAGAACTCCGGAGGTTTACAACCAGGTGGAAATGTGTGTCAAACCAGAGCAAAGCTGGAAGGCCGTCCTGTGAGTTGTTCTACTCCTCCGTATGTGTACTCCGTGAAAGACTCTGGGACGTAGACGAGCGAGGCCTAACACGTTGAGTAAGCGCTGTCACACTTTCCCCTTCTGTGCAACAAGGATTGAGAAAAAGGGAAGACAGAGAAAAGGCAAGTCCTGGACGATACGTAAAATTTTAGGAGTTGCTCAAGAAAAAATGGTGCTCCCTTTTCCCCCCTCCTCCTACGCTGAGTCTTACATTCTCAGTTAGCGGCATTTGTGCGTCCCGGCTCGGAGGGAAGAGTTTTCCCACCGGAGTTGGCGGGCTGCGTGTGGAGTTCCGTGAGAGTTTCGATCCTCGCTTTCCCTTCCCGTTCCAGAGTGACGATGGTCTGCTTCAGTTTGCCTTCGTTGTTAAGCAGGACTTCAATCATGGCTTCCAGGTTTTGGATCTTCCCATTAGCCACCTTGAAAGAGTCAACAGGAAAGAAGGATATTTTTGATTCATTTGTTTCTTTAGAAAATTTATATCGCCTCCCATTTATTCTCTAACCCAGTTGGATGGCAAACCTTTTCGGCAGGGAGTGCCGCAAAGGGAGCATGCATGCGAGTGAGTGCTGAAAAGGGAGCACTTCGCGCATGTGCGAACCTCTCGCACATGCGCTTGTCTGGGCCGCGACCACGAAGAGGAGCTGCCCAGGGAGCATGTGCGTGCCGGAAAATGAACTTACAGTTTCCAGCGTGTGTGTGTGTATGTGTCAGCAAGTCTTCCAGTTACTGCTATGCATGCGCATGTGCCGATCAGCTGGCCGGGGCGATTGCTCATGCCGGATAATGGAAGACTAGCTCTTCTAGTTTCTGGCAGAGCTGCATATGCAAAAGCCAGCTGATCGTGCATGCATGCCAGAAACCCGGAAAGGGTAATGCTGCATGTGGCAGACGACATGGCTGTCGTGCCACTTTGGGCAGCCGTGCCATAGGTTCACCATCACGGCTCTAACCATTGATAAAATAATTCCCATATATTGTAATAATCAGACTGTTCCTTCTCTTTAGTTTCACATGCTAACCTATTCACCACGGAGAAGGCCCTTTGTCTGGGTCCCGCCAGATGTATCTCCTTACGGGACAACCCACAATATTCCTTGTCTCCCTGTTCCAGTGGATGTGACCGGCAAGAGACAGTCCCAGTGTTGTGACCTGTCGGCTGCTGGCCCCTCCACTATTACTGCCATAGTATTTGTTTCCAGAGAGTAAGTCATCTGTGTGCCAAGTTTGGTTGAAATTGCTCAAGGCATTCCTAATTTCTAATGTTGGATTTCCCCCCTTACCATAGGAAGCCACATTGTGGAGTACTGTGAGCTGTTATCATGGCAACTCCACAGTGCAGTACAGTAGAAGCCATTTTATGGCAGTACAGTAGAAGCCATTTTAAGGCACAACAGGCTGTATCTTAACAGAACACCCCCCCCAAGGGGTGTTAGGGGTGTCTTACACCCCACAATATTTTTCTCCAGAGAGTAAGTCATCTGTGTACCAAGTTGGTTGAAATTGCTCAAAATTATGCTGGAACATACACACACACACAGCTATTTTTATATATCTAATCTCTACAGTTGGCTATCTCACAAACAGGTGATTTTGGGCAGTGTACAAATGAAAACAATGAATACCCATCATGCTTATCATTAACAAATATTAAAAACATTTTAAAACTGTAAAAAAAAACCTGAAACGATCGTCTTAAATGGTAAGATGGATGTCAATAAATTTATTAGTAATATTAAAATCAAGAATAACAGAAAGGATCTTAATTGTAATCGTCCTTGGTGCTCTCTGAACTCGGTTCTTTTCTTGCAGACCTTTCCTTACCCAACTAAGTGCCATCATCAGTGCTAGAAGGGAGTGGGATTTGCTCTGTCTGTATACTGGTGGCTCGAAGTGTATTTTTTTGTCTTTTTAATAACCCTGTAATCCCTTGCATTAGGGTGGAGGTCTGGGCAACTGAATGGAGCTGAGGGTTTACTGGCCAGATGGCCTTCCTATCCCCAAGGCGGAGTTCGCAGCAGATAGTTTCTCATTGTGCCCAGAGAGATAAATATCTGCCGCTAGCTAGGATCGAACTCACAGCCTCCTGGTTGTGAGGCGAGAGTTCCACCTCTAGGCCACCGCATGACTCAGTGGCTCCAAGTGTATAAAATTCTTAAACCTTAAATCAGGGATATCATTTTGAATTTGTGTGCGTCAAATCTTATGGCTATCCCAATTGGTTTATAGGAAAAAAAATTGCGCAAATTAATTTTTTGAGGAAGGGAAACATATTCCTTGTCGATTGCATGCAGCAGAAATAAATACGACTTCTGTCTTGACTCGCTTAATATCTTGTTTTAACGCGTTACGAGTGAAGTGCAGCCTGTACCTGCAGCTCCTCCAGGAGATCGAAGTTTTGCTTCCGTAAGTTACTGTTGGCCTTCCTCAAAAAATTANCTATCTATCTATCTATCTATCTATCTATCTATCTATCTATCTATCTATCTATCTATCTATCTATCTATCTATCTATCTATCTATCTATCTAGTTATCCTTCAAAAGAAAAGCATGTCCTTACTAAAGTTTTATGTTTTCTGTAACAGCATTTGCCATTTGATTATATAAATAACCATTGGTGGGTTGCTAATAATTTTACTACCAGTTCGGGCATGTGCAGAACCCTCTGAGTAGGTGGGTGGAGCCTCCTGCCGCCACTCCTACAGGTTCGCCCGATTCGGTCCGAACCGGGAGCAACCCACCTCTGTAAAGAACATATAAAGAACGGTTGCTGGAACTGGGTATGTCTAGTTTGATGAAAAGAAGGACTAGAGGAGACATGATAAAAAATCTTCCACTGTCTTATAATGTAAGAAGTGAAGTATGGGTTGTCTGGAACAATGAGAATTTGAAAACACATCATATACAAATTATTTCATCCAATCTATTCATAAGTATTAAAAATGCAGGTTTGAAGCATTAGCTACATTCAAGTCATCGCCATCATCATCATCATCATCATCATCATCACTCAAGTGGGGTATCATACCTTTGTCAACTTTGCTGCAATTTTTAGGTTCTTCAAATGCCCAGTCAAAATGGAAAGTCTGCCTTTGTATTCTGCCCAACAATGTAACTGAAATTAAAATAGAACCACTCAAGGCCAGGCTCTGTGCAAACGTTACTCTCTTCTTGACCCTACAAGCTCCATTGCTCCTGATTCTTATTTCCTATTCTTATTAATTTTGGGTTCCCTCCCCAGATCAGCATGGCACGCTTTAAAATTTACCGGTTGCCAAGGTTTTAGCCTTCCCCCATTTCCAAACAGAAGTGAACATTTGGTTCCATCACCTGACTCTCAAAATAACCCCAAGCAAGCAACAGGAAAAATAATTTAAGCAGAAAGGCAACTAGAAAAAAAAACAAACCATCCATCTTGACCTTCTACTTACCTGAACTTTTTGGGTTGCTTTCCGTTAAAGATCATTTCTCAAGTCCTTCTCAAGCCAGACTTTTTCCCTGGAGGGTTTCAAAGCAAATATTGATCAAAATACAATCAACTTACTGGACTCCGGATCTGAATTTCCATCTCCCTCTGTCCGACTGTTGGGTGAGGTCTGCTCATAGTACTCCTCTTGAGGGAAACCCAGTGGCAAAGGGTGGGTCATACTGGTGTTACTGCTGGGCTCGTGGTCTCCAAGCCCGCTGTCACTGCAGCTTTCTTGGGACCCATCGGGGAGGTGAAATGTAACTCGGCGCTGGGACTGCAGAAAGGAAGAAAACCAGAGTTCCAACCAGGTTCCCAAGGAATTGGCAAGTCCTCCCAACACCTGGAATGTAGTATTTTAATGATAGGAGTTCTCTACTTACAACCATCCATTTAGTGACCCTTTGAAACCCTGTTAGACCTATTATGATGCTCCAGGTGTCCATGGCATAGAGGTGGTTCTTGTTTTACAACCATTTGTTGGGTGTTTTTACACTTGGTCAATAAAAAATTCTAATTCTAATAATTCTAATAATTCTAATAATTCTAATAATTCTAATAATTCTAATAATTCTAATAATTCTAATAATTCTAATAATTCTAATAATTCTAATAATTCTAA